GGGCTGCCCGGCCCGACGGGGCTGCCCCCCCGTCACTTCCAAGCCCGCATTAAACAGGAGAGTGCAGGAAAGCTCGTTAATGAGAACTGGGCTTGTCGTGGTTTAATGCTGAGGTTTGCAGCTGGGAAGGATGGAAAAGCGTGGTAGCAGCCAACTCGTGTGGCTTGTGGTTTTCTTCCTAAAATAAAAATTAAGCCATTTGCCCAGTATGCTCACTTAATTACGTTTCCCTCTGAGGTCAGCTGAAACTGCTGCCCAGATCAGCAGCCGTGGTGTTTCCCAGTATTTCTATCCACCAAGTGCCACGGGAGGATCAGTAATGGATGCAATATTGATTCATCCCCAGTGGAAGTGACATGTCTGAACTCGGCATTTCTCAGTTCATTAAAAACAGCCTCTTAGTCGTGCCATCCTACACTGCTGGAACAGAGCTCTGCACGATTTGCCTTCCAGCTTGATCTGTGATGGGCTGCTGTGGGAAGGCCTGCCCTGAAGTGTGTCCAGCAACAAACTGCTGCAGGGCTGAACTCGTCCGCACACGCAAGGCTGTCCCAAATCCCCGCGCCAGCCTCCTGGTTAAGTTGCCAAGTTCTTGCATGTTTCCATCCTGTTGGTACGGGGTGTGGTTTTGCAGACCTGCAGCTCCTTCAGTTCGGATGAAGGGCCCCGTGTAAATGTGCGGCTGTAGGTGAGGGTGAGCAGGGAGAGGCTGCCTGTGGCAGAGGTGGGTACGGGAGGATGAGCTGAACCTGTGCATGTGTCAGTGGCACGGCTGCCCTAAAAATGATTTGAGCTCCAGCACTGCCGTTCTGTTGCCCGGCTAAATCCTGCTGTCCGTGCTTGGGTGAGCACTTGCTGACTGAGACCACGCGTGCTTTGAAACAGTTCCTTGCCAGCAGCAGGAAGGGTCCTGACAGAGCGGTGCTCTAGGATGGTTAAGCTTGTAGCTGGTAAGTGAGCCTTGGTAACCTGGGCTGTAGCTGGGAGCTGCATCCAGCCCTAAACTGACTCTGTTTGCAAGTCGTGGTGACAGTGAGAAAAGAAGGCAATCTCCGACTGTGCTGTCGGTTCTGTACCTGTGTTTTGAGTGCCTTAGAAATCAGTAGCGATATTGATCACCTGTTGTTTTGTTTGTAAACAGGCAGCAAAATACTTTGAAAGACTGCAGCTCTAAATGCAGAAGGCAAGTCTCAAAGCTGCAGCAGGCAAATTAGGGTGCAGTGGAGCGTGTTGGCAGCTGGCCAGCTGTTCTTATGGGCAGTATCATCATGCTGTTGCATTTTGGCTTTTGAATGATGGACAGTAAATGCAGCTTGATGCACAGCAGGAGTTCACAGGTAGGGACGGAAACGTAGCAGAGCCTCATCACTGGGGGATTTACATTCTCTGTATTCATTGGTAGGCTTGCTTGCCTGTTATCTAACATGTAACTCTTCTGTGGATTAGGGTGTGACAGATTGCACGAGGAGATGTCAGTCTGACTGGAGCTCCTCTTCTCAGGTCAGCTGAGCAGCTCAGCCCACATGAAACAAGCAACAGCAGGGTTGGAGGAGTAGCAAGCAAAGCAAGCTTCAACAGGTGTAGCCTTTTATTCCCCCAAAGGTACATGAAGTGAGAAAGGAGTACTTTTTTTAGGGATTTTGATCTCTTTAGCTTTTTAAGAGGCAGTGTTCTTGCAGT